ATAGGCATTATAATTCATGTGTCTAACTTACAGAAAAACCAATATACCATTAAATACCTTCGCTAGACCATACTTTATAAAAATTTATGATCACAGACTAACCCTTGAGATGACTCAGGGAAAAAAAGTATGTCTCTATATTTCATCTAAAGATGGAGGTAAAAGTTTAGGAAATGAAAGGAATATCCAAGGCCATGCATTTTTTTCTTTCTCTGATACAGAAATTTAAAGAGACTCCTGGAAATCATCCTTGATCTACCAGAAGGATACATGCATATACGTAAACCCCAGCCTACCACAATTCCCGCTTGTTTTGCCTTCTTTCTGTGCATGTAAGCATAGAGCTTATGCAGTCATATTTCTCAAATTTCTTTTTTTGTTAATTCTCACTCTTTGCTTCTTTTAGGAATAAGAAAGAAAGCAGCTTTTTGGAGCAAATATGATCTATTCATTGCTTAACATTGGGAAAGGGAGAGCAAGACTAGAGACAGCTGAAACTGGGAATTTCCAGTTTAATGGAAAATTCTGGTATTCTGATTATTCTGAATGAGAACAAACTGTTTCAAAATTTCCCACAAAACAGAAATTAAAAAAAAAAACTAAAAAAATGCTTTCAAAAATGTTGAAACACATTTTGTTTGAGCCTTTTAGTTTTTTTTATTTCATATTTTGTATTTATGTTTTACCAGTCATAATTACACATAATATAATGCCACCTAATAATAATTAACTAATTTCCATAATATATTACATTTAAAAAATTTAAAGTGTTTAAAGTGTGAAACCAATATACATGTATAGTTGATGTGTATTTCATTTGAGTAGAAAAATAAGATCAGTGTTTAGCTTTGTATTACTTTTAGCAGCTAGCGTCTAAAACATAGGAAAAAACATAATAATACAAGGGTATTCAAAATGGTAGCTAATTTATAACAAAATTAAAATTGTACGGTACTTAATTTTATTCATCACAGCATTCTAACCATACATTTCTGCACGCTAGTGGCAAGCAGTAAAGTCCTTGCCTTCTAGTGATCTAGCAAGGAAACTTATTATTCTTACTTCACACAATGTGGAGTAAGTACTAAATACTCTCAGTTTACAGGTCAGTGGATTAATTCTGACCTTTTATTAACATTGATTGTTTCTACCACTGTTATAGATAAGCAATAATTCTGGACTGAGGTTCCTTGAAACATGCTTGTTTTTCTTGATCATTGAATATGAAAGGTTTCAATTTACTTGATCCTCATTTAATCATGAAACTTGTACTTTTTTGCCCAGGTGAGAAATTGTTTTTCATGGCTCTGCTCTCTGCCTGGTATCTCTTCAATATTGCCAATGTAATGACAGATCAAATTACACGCCCTCATCCTCCCCATCAAATCTGTTACTTGTTTTTTATGTAGTGATGATGCTACTTGGGCCAACGTGAAAGAATGATGGGGTCCTTTTTAAACAACCCATTATTTCAAATGAATCAATAAAATAATCTCTTTCTTGATTTCCTAACTTTCAACTTGATGAAAGAAATTTTCCACCATATACCTGACTTATCATTAACTTGAACACAACATTCCATATTAAGAAAATACTCCCTTCCACCCCTCTCTCCAAAGTTGTTTACTAAAAGGAAAGTCAAACTTCTCCAATAGTAGACACATAATATTTTACAAATAATTCACTAGAGACTATAAGAGCTAAGCAATCATTTGTGTGCTTTAGGAAATAATACTAACACTGTAAATAACATTTTATCCTATCCAAAAGTAAGCAAGATGATTTATGAAGCAAATAAAAAGAGACAGTTCCAAACCAAAAGAGCTTAAGCTGGAGGCTAAGCAAAGGAGAATAAGGAAGACATACACAAATATCATGCTGAAATTCAATGAAAATTGTTGTGGTCTTTAGTTTAAAACCTCTTCACAAATGGATCACAAAAATAGTAAATGACAGAAGACAGAGTATCTCTATTTATGAAGAAGCCAAAGGTGATATTCAGGCCAAAGGCTGCACTTACAAGAATTCCAGATCAGCATGCCAAAAAAAGGCCTTATGGTGGGGTTCAGTTACCTGCAGGTGCTGAAGGCCATTTGAGATACCCTGAAGTATGCAAGAAATCTGTATGAGGTCAGCAGATAGGACACAGTCTTATGGGAAATAAGTATCACTCTGTAGGGGAAGCTGGGGGCATGAAGGTTATCCCACAGCACTAAAAATGTCACTAGATGCCTAGATGTCTTTAATGTCTGATATGATTGAGACCTATTAAAAAAAAAAAAAAAAGGAGGAAAAAGACACAGTTACCATTAGCTCAGTGAACTGAGTTCAGTAACCAGTCAGTAAGCTAAGGGAAGACTGATAAGATATCCCTCAAAAGTCTCTTGTGCTTTTTGATAGGGGGTGGAGAGAACAAGGGACACATTACCCATAGTATTCAATATAGCTCAATCATCTGTTCACAGTGTATGAATATTAAGGCATCTGTGTATGGTCTGGCCAGGATGAATGTCCTTAAAACAGCATAATAAAAGAAAATCTTGTCTCTGCTGTTTCCGTATAAGAACAGCTTTCCACCAGCCACTGCATTTGTTGTCTTTGCTATGCTGTCTTCCACCATCCTCTCAGCTCTATCACCCTCGCAGGTGCTCATCCCAATGTAGGAAACGTAACAACAGCTACAGATAACAAATAACTGCATATAGGTAACAGCGATCCAAGGCAGAAGAATGCAAGGGGATGTGGCATACTCTTTGCCTTACTATAGCTGAGATTTTATCAGGCATTGTGGAAATGTTCCTACCTTGTAAGGAAGGATTTAAGGAGGGATAATATATTAATTAGGATAATTTGTTAGTTTTAGTTTTGCTGTCTTCTATAAAATGGAGTTAACTGACACAAGTTAGTTACTGACACAAGTTCTGCAGCATTACAACGTGTTAGTGATATCACAGGAGTATTAAAGTGCAAAGAGATTAGGATCAGAACAGATAAATTCCTAAATATCTGATTATCTCACATTTTTCATATATTGTTGTGGAAATGATGTCACTCCAGGTTGTACTTAAGAAGCCAAAGACATCCATGTCATTGACTTTTAATGTAGAATAGATACACACATTCCAACCACATATTTTTTTCTGACCTGCACACCTTTTGTGAGTGTTTTGCTGCCTACCATACACTCTGTCTGTAGTTTACAGGTGCGTTTGATTCAAGGGGATGTATGTAACTGCAAAACACTCAATCACAAAGTAGTATTTAAACGGTTTACAAAGTAAATGCTATTATATTTAACAATCCTGTTAACCACACTCTTCTCTTAGGCTGGTGAAAGAAGGGATACATGTGCTATGAGTTGTAGCAAGCTACATCAAGGGATGTGTAGAATGGTGCCACTATTCAATGACCTCTGAAATGCGGAGGGAAGAATAAAACAGACCAGGTTATTCAAACACAGTATCTCCGGTACAAATATGTATTAGAATACTTGAAATATAGGTATTAATTGAACTAAGCAAACTTACCTCAAAGCCTGCCGTGATTCTGATATTATGCTACATTAGAAGAAATTCTTTCCAAAGATTAATCAGCTTAGCTAAGCACACAACGTTTAAAACTGTGCAGAGTATTAGCCATCCATAGAAAATATAAAAAACTAAATGTGTCCTTTCTCCCTGGCAAGCACCATGTAGTTCAAGGTGGATCTGAAAACTGAGAATGGACCAGGGCCAACACGATCTCAATTGTTACTTCCAATAATAAAGTACAGCTAGCACCTCAGCATGCAACTCTCACTTGAGTGGAAGGGGACAGGGACAAAACGCAATGTCCTGGAATAGCTTTTATGGACATCATGCATTGATTGTGACATGTATTTGGTCTCTGGAGCTGCAGTCTTGTTTAATCCTCTACTTTTAAATGCCATCTTCCAAAACCAAAGGGTAGCAAGTACAAATTGTATCTATAAAACACCATCACAACTTTATTCTCAATAGCTAAGTATTGAAATGCAAGCATACATTATAAATAGAAAAACAGCTGGCTTGGAGCACATTGCAAGCCACTAACACAGTTGAGGGATTTGAATGACATCATAACCCGTGAGAGCACGTTGCTGGCCAGCTGGTGTTATTTATAATATACTCATAATTGAGGAAAAATAAAAAGGCAAAAGTTAGGTATTGCAGAACTAACAAAGTTCAATTCTCTCTTTCCCAGTGTCATTTAAATTGTTATTGAAAGTAATTATGAAGACTACTACTAAAAAGGAGGAAAATCACTTTATAATTACAAGAGCACATTTAAGATAAATGTCATGGAAGCCCCCCAAATGGGGCTACTTGGGTTACTGTATTCATAGTACTGTAAATTCTAGGAAACGATATGACTTCTGTGTGGTTGCTAAAAGACAAAAAGATATTTTGCCCTAGTTACACGTAATGCTCAACAATTCTGTTATTTTCAGTAAATTACAAACATCTATTTTAGGGTTAATAGCACAGAGAGTTGGAGGTTTTAATTGTTATTCAGCATACAGGCATGCCAAGTTTAATAATGTAAAGATGCATTAAGAAAAAAGTAGATCACTGACTGCCTGTCTTTCTATACAATATAAATAGAATACCTGTGCTTCTATGCATAAATAAAATGTGTACATATATACTAAGGCATGCATGTATAACGAAAATGCACTTATGCATTTAAGTTTTTATATATTTGAAATTCAGACACACACAACCATAAATACAAATAGCTATCTGAAAGTTAACCAGAATACATTTTCTTATTTTTCATGGCAGCACAAGCTTTTTTTTTCTGCTAACCCCTCAGTCACTAATTCACATTCTTTTAAAGGGAAAAAAATATGCTTCTGTGCTCTAGTTTTAAAATGCAAAGGTATGATGTTATTTGTCACCATGCCCAAAAAAGTCCTTACTCGGTAACTTTGCCAGAAGAGGGAGAGAGAGAGAAGGCAAATGCTCCCCCAGCTGTTTCCTGTCTACAGTGTCTGTGTAATGTAGATAAATGTGAGGATTTTCTCTAAATCCCTCTTCTGTTTGCTAAATCTCACTGTCACTGCTAAAATCAGAGCAGATAGAGCCTGCGCAATGGAATAAAGTCCTCAATATTGAAATGTGACATTGCTCTCAACATCTCACATCTCTCTGGATTTCTTTTTTTCTCATCATTACTGCTAACAAATTCATTTCCAGACTTTGCACTTTTAAGAAGCAATGGAAAAAATCAACAGTCTTTCAACACAATTAGTTAAGTGCTGCTTTTGTGATTTCTTGAAGGTAAATCTTTATTACTATTTCAAATAATTTCTTAGTTTGATTTTACTGTGTATTGTCTGCTTCTGGTTTGAAGACTATTGTGCACTTTTCAATAACATGATTTTAGAACTGAGAATTATTTATAAATTGCTGAACATGCAATTTTATGTGATCTGGAAAATGGCTGTATGTAATAGTTGCAATTACATAGATAACTGTAAGGGTAAACTATTGCAGATCTATGTTTTAAATTTCACTTGTATTCAGAGAACTTTGCAATATTTCAGTTATGTCATTATTAAAGGGTCCAATTACATCACTGTCTATATTGTTAATTAATGCTTCTGAAAAGAAGAACTTTTAGCTATTTTCTGCAGGTGCAGGATTTTACAGGAGAAAAGGTATTATTCACATGTTAAGTTTCTGTAGTTTTATTATACACAATTATAGATAAAATGTTCGTGCTTTCACAGGGAAACTTTTAAGGGATGTTGTCACTGCAGCAATTTTCTGGCAGCACTGTAAGATTTACTTGCTTTTTGCTTTCATAAATTAAAAGTAAATGTGAAGTTCAGTTTGTTTTCTACGTTAGAAACCAGCTGCGACTCTTGCTGACCTTGCATATTTGTATAGCTTAAGCAGTTGTACATAAAGAAAATGGAAATTCCCCTACATGTTCATCTCCAAGTTTTCCCTTGCAGTGAGGTCTGTTTCAGGAAAGTTTGCATGTGAAGTTTCATGTTATGACCCTATAATTTCTACACATTAATATAAACTGTCTTTAAGTAAATTTGGCTTCAGTGGGTGCATTGACCTCTGTTTCTGTCAATTGGCCTTAGTTCAACTTTCCATTATCAGCAAATTTATATTATTCAAGAAGTTTTTTGCTTTAATATTTTGCAAGGACACTTAGGCTGTTTACAAAATTCTCCTGTTCTAATTGTTCAGGGCCTAATTATTTTTTAGTGTGTCTTACCCTTAAGAAACACTTATTCCTTAATGTGATTCAAAAGTGAAGGTCTGTAATTGCAATGGATGAAACAATTCTCTTAATGTATAAATGGGCATCCCTTCCAATATACCTGAAAGCTGATTTTTTTTTCAAGTATTGAGCAAGGCACTAAGAGGAATAAAAGTAATGTGCTAGTTCCTCAACTGGTACATCCTGCCAAGTTTCCTTGGAATCAATGGAACATATTGATTTAGGTTAGGATGTAGCCCAGATTTTTATTCAAAGTTAGCATTATTTAAACCTTGATCCATTCTAGAGTATATTTGCTATATTTATATAATAATTACTAATGAATACTTTTACTACATACTAATTACATACTTCTACTATGGCTTGGTAATCAGGTCCAACAGCTCTGTAGCCATATGTAATTTTGATTATAACTCTTGATTTTTTGTTTCTATAGTATATACTACTAATAAAAACATTGCCCTCCTTCAAAATATTTATAATTATTGTAGATGTTCTACCAAGCATGTGAAGAATTCTTATGCATAACTTGTGCCAACTGATCATTTGTGAGACAAAGACGACTTACATAGAAGAATTAAGAAGTAAGAGAGATGTAGACTGTTCATATATGACATTCCTCTGTGGTGCCACTCTTCTGGACTATTAAAAGAGGAATGCAGCAAAAGCTGGTTATTTTACTGAAAAAAGAGGAAATTCCAGCTGTGAAAATATGGTCAGTCATTCTATGCAACTAAAAGAAGTGCTTAACCAGGCTCATCCTGAACGTGTATTCAATTTCCAAATGCAATTAGATGCTTCAATAAACCCCACCCACATGCCAATGCATTTTCTTTTAAACTCTCAACTTTCTAGTCAGACTGGGAATACTGCAAGCACCCTGCCTGTTTGTAAAGAACCTGAAGGAATATTGGATTACAACTTTGTATTTTCTTAAGAATATTCCCCTCAGACATAAATGGGAATTTTGATTTTATCACAAACATATTGAATCAACTAATGTTATGTTTAATTAACGTGATGAAGTAAAGTTGAAGTTCTAAACTATGTTTTGGAATTCATTTTGATGAAACAGCACTTAATTTAACAGATTATTGATTGAGCCCTAGAAAAATGTGAGTCTGTTTTCTATTCCCCAAAGTTTTTACTTGTTTAAAGTTCTTAACTGTTTTTAAATTTGGAGATAAAGTTTTAAATTCTCTGTGGTTTAAACTGTGCAGCCTTTTTGGCTTGCACTGAAGGAAAACCAGTAGATAATCTGTTTTGTTGTAGTTCAGTGCTGATGCTTATCTTAAAATGCAACCCAGCTGAAAGTCTTGAAAAATACAGAATTGTTAAATGGCTAAGATTTATGTTTATTTTTGACCCAAATGTGATAGAATAATGAACTGTTAAACACATGATGTTCTTGTACTGGTAATATCTTTCAGCCTTCTGAGGTGCTGTGCTAAAAAGTTTTTTGCTTCACCTTCTCAGAACTGGGAACAATCTTAAACTGCAGGTGCATCTTAGAAATACAAAACTATGGTGAGGGAAAAAGAAATTGATGACATTAAGATGTGGAATAATTACAGGAAATAATGCCTTGTGTTATTATCATTCATTTCTAATCTGATCTGGACTCAACCAGCAAGGTGTTAAGACCCTTGGCCAGGAAAATAAGAATTCTTTGAAAAATATTGATGAGAGAAGGCTCACTACCGCCCTGGATCAGATCCCATATGAGCAGACAATAGATAATGTAATCAGATTTTCAAAAGTTCAGTGAAAAAAATAAGATTAAATGGTGCCTGAAACCCTGAAAGAAACTTTAGGGAAGATGAATCATTTTACTCCAAACACTTTCCAGTGGTCTGTTAATAAAAGGCAGTTTTAAGCCAAGGTTAACTGTATGGGCAAGAAAAGTTTGTAATGTCTTACCTGACTGTGATGCTAATATTAACCTTGAAAGAGAATGAAAATAAATGCAGATTTACACCTTTCAAAACCAGGATTTTTGGCAAATGATCTAAATCAGTTCAGCTTTAAGCACATTCTTCACTGTCCTGCTATTAAATATAGATAATTTTTCCTAGTATTTGAAAAACCCCTGATGCTATTTTCTTTCACTTGTGTAAGATCTATGATTGATCTAAATTGATACAAAAGGAGGTGGGTATATGGAATGGTGCAAATTTACACCCATTGAGGACTGACATTTTTCATTCATAAGTCCAGGAAAAAGATAGTTCATAACCAAATGTAAATAATAAAAGGACAGTCACTTTCGTGTGTACCTCGTAGCCAAACCAGACTAAAAGGATATAATGGAGGCCAGTGGAAGTATAGCTGCTTCCATCAAGTAAAAATACAAATCCTTAACACTCCCACTAGTGCACCTCTTAATTTTTTGAATACTTCTAAATGTTAACTTGCTAGTAAGAGGACTGCAAGAATCACTGACTGCAGTCCCCCCCTATGGAAGGTCCCACATCAAACTCCTCTGTAACTTTGGCAAGCTCTACTTTGAAACTTCTTTTGTTTTATCCTTTTATTTCCCTTTTTAAGGTGGCTGGAGAACCATGGAGTACTAATTATGAACTTCTTGCCTACTGGGCCAAATTTCCTTCTATCCAGCGTACAGACATTTATTCCTGTGCCAGTGCTGTTCTTTAGTCTAAATAGCTCTTCTCTGTTGTATGTCATCTCCATCTCCCAGACTACACTGGAAGACAACCGTCATATTCCGTCTTAGCCTATGTGGCCTCAGACAAAATGATATAAATTGTCTAGTGTTCCTTACTCTAATTATTCTGGGCTTCCCTTTGTCTGTCTATTGCACTCTTCATATCCTCCTTTTGCAGGAGCAACCACAAATCACAATTACAACAAGGTTCTCTAACTACGTGTGAATGTGAGCTAAAAATGTTCACCTAGTTTGTCTGTATTTTGTGAACTGATTAGATGAACTAATCAGTTCACAAAATACATGGACTGGAATACGTAGACAGTTTCAAAATTATGATTAGACGTTTCCTGATACTGTGTTTATTGCCTAACAAATTACAATACATATGCATTCTGAACTCTCAAGGGTGCAAGAGTCTTTTTCTTTAGGACTCTGTTGGGAAATTATGACAGTGCTTTTGTTTCCTTGGCAGGTGAAGATGCACACTGTGTCCTACATTCATTTCTTCTACCTTGGCCTGTGTGTGCTTACCTTAACCAGTTCTGCTGCTGCTGGCCCAGAAACACTCTGTGGTGCTGAGCTGGTTGATGCTCTTCAGTTCGTGTGTGGAGACAGAGGCTTTTACTTCAGTAAGTCAACCCTTTGTTTTATTAAACTGCGAAACTTTTCCAGGTAAGCCATTGGCATTTGCAACTGCTCTAAGCAAGCTTAGAAGTCATCAAACCAGGCTTCAAAGTATGACCAGTATCCTCTATCTTGGAGATGCCCAAGCCTTCACTGACCAGGAAGTCTCAGTAAAGAGGCTGTGTTCAGCCTCTCTGAGTTTCTGGGAAATTTTCCTTTCCAGACATGTAATTATGTTTAACCACTTTCCAGCTGCTGCTATTCCACCTGCTGTATTACTGCTTTCTGCTGACCTGACACTGAAATCAAAAGAAGGAAAGCACATACTAGGCTCAAGATATTCTTGAGGAAGAACTACATGTACCTGCTATGTCACACTACTTGTAAACAGTTTAAGTACACATTGTATCATATTAAAAACACAGTAAGCTTCAACATCTGGTTTGAAAAACAGGAAAAGCTGGAAGGCAGCAAGAAGAAAGTTACCACATCCAAGTATCCACATACTTCATCGGTTAAATACAGGTGAAGGAAAATTCATGCGCGCTGAGATAATAAAGATTAACACCAGTACAGACAAAATCATGTGCAATAGTGTGAATATATTAGTACTCAAAACAATTTTTGGAGCAAGACTTTGGAACGGAACATCACAATGTTTTTCCTTTGCTGTGTTTTAGATTGTGCAAGCTGGAGAGGCTAGATATCTTTTTTTTTTATCTTAGTATCATCTTCAATTGCTGTCAAGATCAATAAATACACAATTTATAAATAATAGAAATCTATTTCTAATTTTCAACTATTTGCTACTCAAATAATGTAAATTTAATGAAACTTTTAGCTAGGAATATATTAATTCTGAATGCATTCAGTAATTAGTTGATATATTTATTCAAAACATGCAAGAATTTGTGCTTTTAAAGCCTCTGAATCTAGTGTTTACTTTTAATAAGAACACATGCTTGCCTGAAATTCTTGTCTGAAGTTACTTCTCCTTAGGGCTTCAGTTACCTTTCCAAACAAGGATATAACCAAGAAAAGGAAATATGGTGTGGTTATTCTACAAAAAAATGACCTGAAGAGGGTTGGGGTTTTTGGGGGGGTTGTGGTTTTTTGTTTGTTTGGGTTTGGTTGGGGTTTTTTGTTTGTTTGTTTGGGTTAGCTTTGTTAGATGTTTGTGGGTTTTGGGTTTTTTTGGGGTTTTTTGTTTGTTTGTTTGGGTTTTTTTACTCCTCATTTTACCCAAATAATTCTTGCCTTCTAAGCTATCACTTTTGTTTTTCTGATCTTACCCACTCCATTCTTATTCATTTCTATTCATGGAGTTATTGCCTTCAATATTTTTGTCCTTGCTTGCAATAAAAATAGAATTAGGGAAATACAGAAAATCTTTCCTCAGCATGCAAGCTGTAGACCTTTTCCCTGTCTTCTCAGATCTTTCTATTAAAGTTTACCTTTGAAACTGGGAGTACTAGTTTCATATATGCAAAGCAATTCACTGAAGAACCTTTCTTTTCTGTATTTCACGGTTTAGCTATCTATAATGAGCATCTATTCTAGGGTGCTGTTTAACTTAGTATTCTGGTGTTAAACACAATATTAAAAATATTGGAATCTCTCATAAAGAAATTTACATTTTTCTACCAATTCTTTATGTGTTCATGTGAACACCAAAATCTGCTACACTTGTCAGCAGTTGAGTTACATTTAAGGGGCTATTTGTGTGTCCTACAAATACATTCTCTCAGTGGTTGGAAGGAATGTAAAAGGAAGACTTTCATCTCCCCCTCTTGCTTTTGCACCAGAAAACAATGAAACAACATACTGCATCCACAGAACAACCTAGCAATATTTTTACTGTGTGTGTATCTTAGGCAGTTTCCTGGTTATTCCTTTCCTGGACAAATGTTTGCTGCTTGTTCATAGAACTGTCACACTTGCTTACCACAAGTGGCTGCTACTTCCAAGCAATCAGACTTACTGTTATGTGTACGCTGTGTCCCTCAAGGTAAGAGGACCTGTGAAGTTTTCAGCCTCAGCTATTCTAAGTTTCAAATGGATTCAAATATCTACATTCCTTAAACTAGATCATCCTTACTTTAACATACCTGGATGGGTTTCTGAAGCTTTAAAGGAGATCTTTACCCTTGCAATCATGATTTCTTTCTGTTATCAGTAAAGACTATATCTAGATAGACTTTACTATCCAGAATTTACTATCCATACTCCATGGATCAGTTTTCTTTGGGTTTTTTTCTTACATTCTGAGTTTTCATTTGAAATGAATGTAACTTTGACACCGTAAAGGTCTACGTTGTTTTTATGGAGGACTATAGAAGGTTTTACTAATGAACAGCCACCCTGTTTTAGGAAAGCCTTGCACTGTTGTAATCAACAGATTGCAATGGTAACATTCAGCAAGAATTTTATGAAGTTGATACATGGCCCTTGGATGCTAAGCAGCGTGTGTCCTCTACCTGACACTACTTCTGATTCATGAGGCAGCAACTTAATCTGGTTTAGCCTTCTACTTCTTATTTGTTAGTGTTCAACCTAAAATATAAAACTATACAAAAGTAAGTCCAGTAACATTGGTAAAACAACTTGAGATCCTAATATCAAATGTGTAACAGAATGCAGCAGTTAATTGGAAGTTAAAATTGTTGTTTCGTTTCATGGGACCTTTTAAGAATGCTCTGTCATTTGCAGAAACAAGAAATCCAGTGAACTTTTTTCTTCTATTGTGAAGAGGATATCTATTTAAATTGTATTTTAAGTCTTTTATTCTCCTACACTGGTTCCTTTATATAAATTATAATCAATGGTAATGTTTGCCTTTAACTTGCACAGGAAATAGCAGTGAGGGAAGTTTTTTCTTTGATCATTCTGTATTTCACTAGAGACTAAAAATATAAGGGATACCTTTTGGCTGACTTGGAAATCCTGGTGCAGATTCAAGGTCAAAGTTTCTGATTATTCCTTGGGAGTTGTTGTGGGTGAAAATGAAGATTGAAATAATTGAGTTACTTTCTGTTGAAACTTTCTACTCCACAACCACAAGGCTATATCAATGGCTAGGAGTGGAAGAAAAATGTTTCCTTTATATAGTCCACTCTGCCCAACTTCTTCACTGTAACGGGAAATTCTTTACAGCTTCTGAAGAGATGCTCCAGATGCTTACCACACACAAAGAAAAGTATTGACTTCAAGAGGAAGTGAAATGTGGTTTCTACCACTCCCTTTCTTCTGGAGGTAAATTGGCAAGGAGCATTTTTTGAAAGTTTTTTAGGGAAGGACACTTCACAAATCCCAAAATAGAGCATCTGCTTTTGCCCTTGGTCACATTTAACTCCTGCCACCACTGTCTACTTCTTGGGCAGCTTTTTCTCTCCCATGATTCACCAGTGAAGAGCTGTTTATTGCCACCTTTTATCTAACAACACCTCTCCAGTAGAACTTCTGCCACTCAGGTTCCTATGCACTAACTCATGTTAGGAGAAGCCAACAAACAGAGCCTGACCATCGCTACACAAGTGTCTACACTCTCAATTAATGTTTCCCTAGTCTCAAAAACTCTGGATTCAGCAGTTAGGAAGAAAAGTGGGATGGCTGTTCTGTTTATCAGAATTTAATGCCTAGACAGGTTGATCATGCCACTGCTGTTACAAAACAAGGCTGAGAACAGAGAATGTCAGAAAAAGTGAAAGGACAAGTTACAAGAAACTTACAGAAGCAATAGTCCAAAAGATGGGAAATTTTGTTTTAAATATTCTAGTCTTATCACAGAAATTTACTTTGTAGATTAGTAAAAGAGAGATTATGCTTTTTTCTTCATACAAGTTGAATTTGATGGACAATCATGCATTCTTGCTCATGTTGTTTCCTGAAGTCTATTACTACTGTAAGAAAGGAAAGCAAATGTAGTTTGCTTTAAGGAACAAATGTTATATTCTCTTATATTCAGTTTCTTCTCCTTTTAAAATGTACCTATTCCTTTTCCAATCAATGGATACCAGTTTGTCTTACAATACACACAAATGTCAATAAAGAAATCGCTTTCTTATTTTCTTAGACACTTTTGATCATTCAGATTTCTAAAGCCCAAGTTAGATGGCAATATTTACTGGAAACCATGACAATCAATCTCATGAATCAACTTACTTGTTGGTAATCCAACAATTTTCTGTTAAAAAAACCTATTTGGGGCTTACGGTGACTCTTCTGAAACATCACTTACATAAAAAAGAAGGAGCTGAATTAGATACCTGACACAATGGTTATCCTTTGTGAGATAGAGAATAAAGAATGATCTAGCACATAGTTTCATATGTAAAAGATTTTTACTGCATTTTTTTCCACTAAGACAATTGGAATTGTGTGTTGTCCTTTGGAATATCCTCATCTGTGCACAATGTAAGTCTGTTGGTTTATAATCATCAGAAAATCAGCATAAGACTGTGAACATAATTTTGGGCAATCGGAGCTGTCATCAGATCTCATTGCTTTGTAGAACTAAGGCATATGTGGAGAAATTGCTGCCTTACAGAGGCGGAAATAAGGAGTACAGTAATAGGCAATTACATTTTGCTGCTTCCATATCCCTTTAGTTAACAGCTCCTTGTTTACATCAAGAAGTCTGCTTTTAAGATGTTATTAAAGTTTCTGGGCCTGTCAAACCTATCACCATAATTACAAGAGATTCCATAGCACTCATTTCTTCAAGTACTCCATACCTGTAGGAGCTATGAGTCATTAGCTCCTCTCTGTGTCCCTGATTGAGAGGAATGTTAATGTTGCAAACCCAGAAGAGGCATGATGAAAAGCTGTGGTGGACATGCTGCCTGTGGTGCCAGTGGTCTTACAAATCTTTGCAAAGAAATGTTGGGTCACTTGGCTGTGTTCACACAGCAAGATCTGAGAGTGCTTTTAAGTTCCTTGTTCTGACTACATGCCCCATTCATGTCCAGATCCCGTATACGTGGAAGATTTGAGTGTATTCCTCAATCTTTATCCCCAGGTTTCTTACTTTTTATGTAAAAGCTAGCCTA